ACATGGAAGGTAGACCTTCTTAACCACCAGTACCTACCACATTTTTAGGCCATTAACGCGTGGATGAATCGGTCTGCCACGTGGGTCTGAATTCATTCGAAACGACACGGCCTAAAAACGCGGTAGGTACTGGTGGTTTGACAAGTATCTCTTCTTTTGATTTTCCATCCTGTTTAGCAACTTTAGCTATAATTAGGAGGATATATTTTCTTCCCCTTTTTCTCTCTTTTTTTTCCTTTTTAGGAAAAATTCACGTCACTTAGTGCTATTGTGTTCTGATGTAATCTCTTCAGTTTCAGATTCTCCGCTCCTTCGGGCTGATTTCGCGAGGCCAGGATTTGAGCGAGAAAGAGTAGACAGAGTCTATACTACGCAGTAGAAAGATGCAAGGCAGGCAAGTCAAAGGACCTGCCTATTCATCTCTGCCTATTGACCTGCCTGCCTATTGACCGGCCTGCCTATTTACAGGCCTGCCTGACTGTTCTGACCTACGTCGCAGGCAACGTGCCTATTGCTCTGCGTGTCTATTGACCCAGTGTGGGACAGGTGTCTATGTATTTGCGCATGTCTTGTCTGCCCCTTTTGGCCTGCCTGCTTATTTAAATGGGTGTACTTTCCTGTTCTCTGGGTATTCCTGTTCAATAATGCCACAGACCCGAACAACCCTCCCTCCCTCCCTTCCTCCCTCTGGGCAATTCTCCACGTGTATTCTACCAGGCTATGGGGGCAGATTCATTATGATGATGATGATGATGTGGTGGTGTGCAGTTCTAGCATGCGGGTGAAGTGGAGTGCGTGCTGCCTACCGTAGTTGCTTTTTTGCAGAATGTGACCTGGATCTGAGGCCCTTCCGGATTGATTTTTTTTTTCGCCTTACTTGTCTTCGCATGATGATTCGGCGCTCGTTGCGATCAAGGTTCGATTCCGGAGAAGGGAGATGGAAAGCTGTACAACACGAGTTGTGTGTATGGCTCCAACGGCGAACTGCTTGGAAAGCATAGAAAGGTATGCGGCAGGCAAAGGTGAAACCCATGTGTTCTTTCAGCCCCTGACACTTTTATAATCCCCTTTTACAACTCCATTTTTTGGTGACCCCCGTTATATGACGCCCGTTTATCACACACCCTTAATTACCCTTCATCACCTTCTCTATGACCCCTTCTTATCCTCTGTTATCCCCTCTTGCTTGCCAGAGGGACAAACTCAATTCACCTTCCCCGACCCTGTCCTGTTTATTTGCTCATTAAGGAACATATATCACTTGTACATTCATTCATTTAATGATTTTAGTCATTTCGCTTTGCTTTCTGCTTTCAAAGTTCCACTATCTTTGATTTGTTTATCCGGTGGAGCCATGGAATTCTGAATCTCGCAAAGTTCTATTGCATACACAAGGAAATTGGGTCCTATATTGGAATAAAGTTAACAATTTAACGGG